CCTTCACTGACCTTCGTACAGCCTTCCTTTGTTCTCGTCCACCTCGTCCGTCTCCGTCTGTGCTTCCGTCTCCTCCTGAGTCGGCCCTCACTGTGTCGCTTCCTTCTCCTGTCACTGACTACTACCGCACGTACCGTCCTGTTCTCTCTCGTGTTCTCGCCTCTCTTGTTACCCACCCTCGTGCCTCTGTGTCCTCTGTGTCCGCTCTTACTGCCGCAGTCACTGAGTTTGCCTCTACCCGCCGCCTTGACTTCGCCACCGCTCTTGTGGCTGCTCCTCCTTCCAGTCCTCTGGCCGTCGGGGGTGTGTCTGCCCTTGGCTGTGACGCCCTAGAGGACAGGCAGTTTGAGCTAGAGTTCCTGGCGGCCGCTTCCCCTCATCTCTGTGCCATGCTCCTCGCCCCTGAGGGTGACCCCGACGCCCTTGACATTCCGACTCCTCGCACTTACGCTGAGGCAGTGTCAGGGCCTTGGGCCTCTCAGTGGAGAGCTGCCATGGACGCAGAGATGGCCTCCTACAGATCCACAGGCACCTACGTCGATGAGGTTCCCCCTCCGGGGGCGAACGTAGTCGACGGCATGTGGATCTACAGGGTGAAGCGGCCACCGGGATCTCCTCCGGTCTTCAAGGCGCGCTACGTGGCTAGAGGTTTCAGTCAGCGCGAGGGAGTTGACTTCTTTCAGACCTTCGCGCCCACCCCGAAGATGACCACTCTTCGGGTGTTACTACACGTAGCAGCACAGAGAGACTACGAGTTACACTCTCTCGACTTCTCTACTGCTTTCCTTCAGGGCAGTCTTCACGAGGAGGTCTGGTTGCGTCGTCCCTCTGCCTTCACTGGCTCTTTCCCTCCTGGGACCCAGTGGAGGCTGAGGCGACCGGTTTACGGTCTTCGTCAGGCTCCTCGTGAGTGGCACGACACCCTGCGTTCTACCCTCTCTGACCTTGGGTTCCAGCCGTCTTCTGCTGACCCGTCGCTGTTCGTTCGTCGTGGCCCCACACCTTTCTTTGTTCTGGTCTACGTTGACGACCTTGTTTTCGCCACCCCTGACAGGGTTGCTTTGGCACACGTGAAGTCCGAACTGCAGAAGAGACACACCTGCACTGATCTTGGTGAGCTGCGCCACTACCTTGGCCTGCAGATCACCAGGGACAGAGCTGCTCGCACCATTACACTTTCACAGTCACACATGGTGCAGCAGGTCCTTCAGCGGTTCGGGCTTCAGCACTCCACAGTACAGCGCACACCTCTTGCTGTTGACCACAGACTCACTGGACCCTTTCCTGACGAGCCGTTCGAGCCTAGTGGTCCCTACGCAGAGCTTGTGGGTTGCCTCATGTACCTGATGACTTGTACTCGCCCGGACCTCGCCTTCCCTCTCAGCGTTCTTGCGCGCTTTGTTGCGCCAGGGAGACACCGTCCTGTTCACTGGACAGCAGCTGTGAGGGTGGCGAAGTACCTAGCGACGACATCAGGCGTGGGGCTAGTTCTTGGAGGGCAGCAGTCTGTCGTACTTACTGGTCACTGTGACTCCTCTTACGCTGACGACGCTGAGACTCACAGGTCTACTCAGGGGTACTGTTTCAGCCTGGGTTCTGGAGCTGTTTCCTGGCGGTCCACGCGCTCCTCTTCGGTCTCGACCTCTACAGCTGAGGCTGAGATCTACGCTGGTGCCATGGCGGCACAGGAGCTGCGTTGGTTGACCTTCTTGCTCACCGACCTTGGTGAGCGGCCGAGCTCTGCACCGACCTTGTTCACTGACAACAAGGCGTCTATTCTCCTTTGTCGAGAGCCACGACTGGAGAGCAGAGTGAAGCACATTCACGTCAGGTACTTTCTTCTGCGAGAGTTGCAGAGGCGTGGACAGGCTCGCTTTGAGTTTGTGGAGTCCGAGGCCAACACTGCAGACATCTTCACCAAGGCGCTTCCGCCTTGTGACCACCAGAGGTGCTGTGTGCAGTTAGGCCTTGTTGACACTGGTTCTCGTGTTGCTTAGACTTGAGTGTACTGTTTACTTTGCTTTCTATATATCTCTGTTACTTCTTGGACTGGCCTTGTGGCCACTGTTGTTTGTGCTCAGACTGTGTGGTGACGTTGTGATCCACCCTGAGCTTCGTTTCTTGGACTGGTCTTGTGACCGTACTCGTTTGGTTCTGCTAGACACCCCTCACTTAGGCTATGGGGGTGTGTCAAATGTTGTAGCCTATAGTGAGGTTTGTCTTAGGGGGTACAAAACTTAGGGTTAGCTATATGTACCCCAACCAACATCAATGCATCATCCATTCTTCATTCTGACAATAATGTATTGGCTGATATTTCAGTTTTTTTTTTTAGTGTATGGGCTGATTTTGTTGAAATAGTAGGCATAGCTTAGGACTAGGTGACTAGGGTTTAGCCTAGGCAAAGGGAATGAATCCAAGCAAAGGAGGAGATGCACTATGAAAAGAGGGGTACAAATAGACGAGAGAGAGAAGCTAGGAGTGGTGCACCACCACACAAAACACATATGTGACTACACTACAGCTAGACCACATGCACTTATACAAAATATATGCAATATATATTCTGACACACCCCCTAAGTGCATGCAGGAATAGCCTTGTGCAGAACACCCCCTGAAGTGGTGCACCCTGCAAAGAGCAGATGAAGAAGAGGCGAAGTGAGGAGGAGGAGGGACTGTGAGAGGAGTGGAGATAGGAGGCGACAGATGAAGTCGCAGTCATACGGGCAACAGGAGCAGCGCGCACAGTGGCTACCGAGCGCACGAGGGCACCGGACTACGGGAGTATCTGGCTCCGCGGCTACGACGAGCACACACAGGAGCAACGGACCCACAGGCGACAGGCGAAGCAGACTCGCTGGGCTACCGAGAGCACGAGGGCTCCGGACTACTGGCGCTGCTGACGACACGACGACGACCTCCGCTCATCCTCCCCTAACAGTCCCACACCACCTTCTCACACACCCCCTTGCTGCACCCCTAGCTCCACTCCCACGACACCCCCCTAGCGCCACTCCCTCGGCTCCCACACACCCACCCCCCTCAGCGGCAGCTGCAGCAGTGGGAGACGGAGGAGGAGGAGGAGTAAGGGAGGGTTCACACATCCGCCACCCCTATACCCGCCACCCCCACACCCGCCACCCCAAGACCCCCAACGTAGGCAGGGTGGGGCAGAGACGCGGGCAGCAGCAGGGGCGGCGTGCGGGCGGAAGGGGGGGCGGGGCGCGGGTCCCTGGGGAGCTGCTATGGGCGACGGGCAGGGGAGGCGCGCGGGTCCTTGGGGGCGCCACGATGGGCGACGGGGGGGCGACGCGCGGGTCCCTGGGGGCGCCACGACGGGCGACGGAACCGCCGCGCGCTCCCGGGGCGCGCGGCGGGCAGGAAACCGCCACGCGCCCCGAGCGCGTGGCGGGAAGAAAACCGCCACGCGCCCCGAGCGCGTGGCGGACAGAAAACCGGCGCGTGGCGGGAAGAAAAAAAAGGAAGGTCGCGCGCCACGGGGCGCGCGACAGACAGTATGGCAGCGGAAGTAGGCGGGCCCACAGGCCAGGAGCGTAACCGCTCTGATACCATGTTGAAATAGTAGGCATAGCTTATGACTAGGTGACTAGGGTTTAGCCTAGGCAAAGGGAATGAATCCAAGCAAAGGAGGAGATGCACTATGAAAAGAGGGGTACAAATAAACGAGAGAGAGAAGCTAGGAGTGGTGCACCACCACACAAAACACATATGTGACTACACTACAGCTACACTACATGCACTTATACAAAATATATGCAATATATATTCTGACAGATTTTTCAGCGATTTTTTACAAGTGTAGACTGATTGATCAGCCTACTAACGAGGGTGTAGGCTGAAAAAGCGCTACTACTGATTCTGTAGGAGCCGTGAGTTTCGGCTGTCTAGGTACATTCCCCGTCAGTCACGCCGAAGTTGCCATCTCCCGACGCGTCAATTCGGTGCAGAAGTTCTGCAGCAGAACAACAATGCACAGCAAAGCACTGCGTGCCCCCACGTCAAACACCCCCACCTCACCCCACAACACTTTGAAAATGGTCTCTAGCTTTGTTCAGCCTTAGCTTTTTAGTGAGGCTGATTAGTCAGCCTTTATTTAGACCAGGACACTGATTTTTCAGCTTTTTTTTTTTTTTGTACAACACTGACTGTTCAGCCTAGGCAAAAACGAATCTGAGGCCCTGGTCATGGCGAATACATCATCCGAAAGGTCATTTTTCTTTATTAAAAAAATGTACATAACGATTGTTATAGGTTGCTTCGCAATCCAAAAAAAAACTGAATTATCAGCCAACCGATCAGCCACATGTCTGTGAAATCAGCCTCCAGACACTAATTCAGCCTTTTTTCTCTGACATCTGAGGCCCTGCCCCCCCCCCCCCCTCTCCCTAAAAAAACGTGTTTTATTTTATCCCCAGGGCAGGGGCGGGTATATCCGGGGGCTGATGGTAAGTGAATGTACCGAAAAGACTTCTCGCGGGTTGTTTCTATTACGAAATGGACATTGCACCAGACGGTGACAGGTAAAGCCAGGAATGATGCCAGCTTAATGACATGTTTTGGCAGAGTACCGTAATCATGGAGCAATGACTCCACCAGAGAGATGACATCATGTGCATGGTTGCGGTAGGCCAATGACGCCGCATCATTACTCGGTGTGCCATAAATAGCTGATATCAGTCCGCCAGATCCAGTCAGACTCATACAGGAGGTTGGGCAAGCCCAGCCAGACCAAAGTTGGTCTTCCTTGAGGCGCAAATTGAAACCCTGTTTATGTTTAATTGAACCAACTCCACACCGGTCTCAATCCCGCCGCTATCTGACTCATAGAGGCGGTTGGGCAGCCCCAGCCAGAACTTCAAGGCCTCATCAAAGCCCCGTGACCCCGGGAACTCATCAGCAGCACCAGCAGTGGTGGTGGTGGCGGAGGGGAGGGAGAAGCGGGCATGGTGGTGGCGGTGCGAGGAAGCTAAAATCACATCAGTCCCGCCAGCTCCAGTCAGACTCATACAGGCGGTTGGGCAGCCCCAGCCAGAACTTGAGCGCCTCAAAGCCGCGTGACCCCGGGAACTCATCAGCAGCAGCAGTGGTGGTGGAGAGGGAGGAGAGGGTGCGGAGGCGGCGCGAGGAGAGGGAGGTGATGAGCATGCGCTTGTACTTGAGCTTATCGGGTGCCAACCCTGCTCGCTCCATCGCCCCCACGACCTCTAGAGCGCGCTGTGAAAGGAGGGGGAAGGAGAGAAAGGTTGATTGGGAGAGGGAGGGAGGAGAGGGAGGTGATGAGCATGCGCTTGTACTTGAGCTTATCGGGTGCCAACCCTGCTCGCTCCATTGCCCCGACAACCTCCAGTGCGCGATGTGAAGGAAAGAGGGGGAACAGGGGAGGGGGAGCGGAGAGAGGGAAAGGGTGGGATGGGGGAGGAGGAGAGATACAGTGATGAGGGAAGAGGAGCGGGAAAATGGTGAAGGAAACAGGCACCAGCCAGGGTTGGGGCAAGTAACAAGGAGCACGAGACAGGTAGACTGACAGAAAAAATGGAGTGAGGGAGAGAGGTAGAGTGAGAGAGAGAGGTAGAGTGAGAGAGAGAGGTAGAGTGAGAGAGGTAGAGTGAGAGAGGTAGAGTGAGAGAGAGAGGTAGAGTGAGAGAGGTAGAGTGAGAGAGGTAGAGTGAGAGAGAGAGGTAGAGTGAGAGAGGTAGAGTGAGAGAGAGAGGTAGAGTGAGAGAGGTAGAGTGAGAGAGAGAGGTAGAGTGAGAGAGGTAGAGTGAGAGTGGTGGAGAGAGATCCTCACCTGGAAGTACCCGGCCTGCATGAAGATGAGCATGAGCCCATCCATCACTGCCTCGTCCACACACACCCCGGCTGCCCCTTTAGCTGCTCCTCCTGCCACTCCTGCCCTCCACGTCACTGTTTCTGCTGCCACGCCCACCCCTCTCCCTCTCGCTCTCCCTCCGCCCTCTCTGTGCTGCCACCTGCTCCTCACCCACTCCCTCTCCCCACGTGCTCCAACCACTTCCGCCACTCCCCCCTCCTCCCCTTCACTCTCCCCCATCCTTTCTTTCTCCTCCTCCTCACTCCCCCCCTCACTCCCGCTCCCTCCTGTCTCACCTCGCCCCTCCCTCCTTTCCCCCATTAGTTCCCACCTCCCCTCCCCGCCCTCCACTTCCCCAAACCCCAACCCCTTCTCCCCATCGCTGCCCTCCGTCCCCACCAGTCGCTCCTTCAAGTCGCGCCACAGCACCAGCGCCTCCCCCGCCCTCTCTGCCGCTGCCAGCGCTCGCACCAGAGTACCGTAGGTGGCTGGGGTGGGAGCAATTGAGGCTGCCTGCAGGCGGGAAGTAACGGAGAGGTGTGTGCGACGGGGAGAGAGGAAGGTTTGTTCACCAGTCGGTCTTTCAAGTGGTGCCACAACACCTGCGCCTCCCCTGCCCTCTCTGCTCTCATGCTGCCAATGCTCCAACAAGACTACCGTGGGTGGCTGGCGTAGGGACGACTGCGAGAGAAAGGGGTGGTGTGTCACAAGGGTGAAACGTGCCTCCCCCACCTCTGCTGCTGTCAATGTGCGCACCAGACTGTCAATGTGCGCACCAGACTGCCAATGTGCGCACCAGACTGCCGAACGTGGCTGACGAGAGAGAAGAAGCGGGCGAGAGAGAAGAAGTGGCCGAGAGAGAAGAAGTGGGCGAGAGAGAAGAAGTGGGCGAGAGAGAAGAAGTGGGCGAGAGAGAAGTAGTGGGCGAGAGAGAAGAAGTGGGCGAGAGAGAAGAAGTGGGCGAGAGAGTAGAAGTGGGCGAGAGAGTAGAAGGTTCATTCATGTGTTAGGTTCCCCTCCCTGCTGCTGCCAACACGTGCACCAGTCTGCCATACGTGGCTGAGGAATGGACGACAGAGGCTGTCTGTGCGTGGGAGAAAGAGAATGGGCAAGGAAGCGAGAGAATGGTACATGTGTTACGATATTGAACAGCAAGCTGCTTATTGCACGCCACACACGCTTATTGCACGCCACACACTCTGCAGCTTGCTCTGCTGCTGTTTGGAAAGGGAGATCGCGAGTGTGCATAAACGAGGGGAAGCCTCTGGAGTGGAGTCGGGGAGGAGTGGCCTTGGCCGTTGCTACACACACCATGCCCACCCTAGGGTGACATTTGAGTGGACTCAAAAGTCACACCATGCCCACCCTAGGGTGACATTTGAGTGGACTCAAAAGTCACACCATGCCCACCCTAGGGTGACATTTGAGTGGACTCAAAAGTCACACCATGCCCACCCTAGGGTGACATTTGAGTGGACTCAAAAGTCACACCATGCCCACCCTAGGGTGACATTTGAGTGGACTCAAAAGTCACACCATGCCCACCCTAGGGTGACATTTGAGTGGACTCAAAAGTCACACCATGCCCACCCTAGGGTGACATTTGAGTGGACTCAAAAGTCACACCATGCCCACCCTAGGGTGACATTTGAGTGGACTCAAAAGTCACACCATGCCCACCCTAGGGTGACATTTGAGTGGACTCAAAAGTCACACCATGCCCACCCTAGGGTGACATTTGAGTGGACTCAAAAGTCACACCATGCCCACCCTAGGGTGACATTTGAGTGGACTCAAAAGTCACACCATGCCCACCCTAGGGTGACATTTGAGTGGACTCAAAAGTCACACCATGCCCACCCTAGGGTGACATTTGAGTGGACTCAAAAGTCACACCATGCCCACCCTAGGGTGACATTTGAGTGGACTCAAAAGTCACACCATGCCCACCCTAGGGTGACATTTGAGTGGACTCAAAAGTCACACCATGCCCACCCTAGGGTGACATTTGAGTGGACTCAAAAGTCACACCATGCCCACCCTAGGGTGACATTTGAGTGGACTCAAAAGTCACACCATGCCCACCCTAGGGTGACATTTGAGTGGACTCAAAAGTCACACCATGCCCACCCTAGGGTGACATTTGAGTGGACTCAAAAGTCACACCATGCCCACCCTAGGGTGACATTTGAGTGGACTCAAAAGTCACACCATGCCCACCCTAGGGTGACATTTGAGTGGACTCAAAAGTCACACCATGCCCACCCTAGGGTGACATTTGAGTGGACTCAAAAGTCACACCATGCCCACCCTAGGGTGACATTTGAGTGGACTCAAAAGTCACACCATGCCCACCCTAGGGTGACATTTGAGTGGACTCAAAAGTCACACCATGCCCACCCTAGGGTGACATTTGAGTGGACTCAAAAGTCACACCATGCCCACCCTAGGGTGACATTTGAGTGGACTCAAAAGTCACACCATGCCCACCCTAGGGTGACATTTGAGTGGACTCAAAAGTCACACCATGCCCACCCTAGGGTGACATTTGAGTGGACTCAAAAGTCACACCATGCCCACCCTAGGGTGACATTTGAGTGGACTCAAAAGTCACACCATGCCCACCCTAGGGTGACATTTGAGTGGACTCAAAAGTCACACCATGCCCACCCTAGGGTGACATTTGAGTGGACTCAAAAGTCACACCATGCCCACCCTAGGGTGACATTTGAGTGGACTCAAAAGTCACACCATGCCCACCCTAGGGTGACATTTGAGTGGACTCAAAAGTCACACCATGCCCACCCTAGGGTGACATTTGAGTGGACTCAAAAGTCACACCATGCCCACCCTAGGGTGACATTTGAGTGGACTCAAAAGTCACACCATGCCCACCCTAGGGTGACATTTGAGTGGACTCAAAAGTCACACCATGCCCACCCTAGGGTGACATTTGAGTGGACTCAAAAGTCACACCATGCCCACCCTAGGGTGACATTTGAGTGGACTCAAAAGTCGCACCATGCCCACCCTAGGGTGACATTTGAGTGGACTCAAAAGTCACACCATGCCCACCCTAGGGTGACATTTGAGTGGACTCAAAAGTCACACCATGCCCACCCTAGGGTGACATTTGAGTGGACTCAAAAGTCACACCATGCCCACCCTAGGGTGACATTTGAGTGGACTCAAAAGTCACACCATGCCCACCCTAGGGTGACATTTGAGTGGACTCAAAAGTCACACCATGCCCACCCTAGGGTGACATTTGAGTGGACTCAAAAGTCACACCATGCCCACCCTAGGGTGACATTTGAGTGGACTCAAAAGTCACACCATGCCCACCCTAGGGTGACATTTGAGTGGACTCAAAAGTCACACCATGCCCACCCTAGGGTGACATTTGAGTGGACTCAAAAGTCACACCATGCCCACCCTAGGGTGACATTTGAGTGGACTCAAAAGTCACACCATGCCCACCCTAGGGTGACATTTGAGTGGACTCAAAAGTCACACCATGCCCACCCTAGGGTGACATTTGAGTGGACTCAAAAGTCACACCATGCCCACCCTAGGGTGACATTTGAGTGGACTCAAAAGTCACACCATGCCCACCCTAGGGTGACATTTGAGTGGACTCAAAAGTCACACCATGCCCACCCTAGGGTGACATTTGAGTGGACTCAAAAGTCACACCATGCCCACCCTAGGGTGACATTTGAGTGGACTCAAAAGTCACACCATGCCCACCCTAGGGTGACATTTGAGTGGACTCAAAAGTCACACCATGCCCACCCTAGGGTGACATTTGAGTGGACTCAAAAGTCACACCATGCCCACCCTTGGGTGACATTTGAGTGGACTCAAAAGTCACACCATGCCCACCCTAGGGTGACATTTGAGTGGACTCAAAAGTCACACCATGCCCACCCTAGGGTGACATTTGAGTGGACTCAAAAGTCACACCATGCCCACCCTAGGGTGACATTTGAGTGGACTCAAAAGTCACACCATGCCCACCCTAGGGTGACATTTGAGTGGACTCAAAAGTCACACCATGCCCACCCTAGGGTGACATTTGAGTGGACTCAAAAGTCACACCATGCCCACCTTGACTTGTTGGTACAGACCCCTCGCCTAGTTCACGAGCCCCGCGCCAAGGTGAATTTTGAGTGGATTGAAAAGACACATCATGCATGAGATGAGAGGCACCTGGAATGCACGGGAATACGCATGCCCACTGCCCCCTGCCCACTGCCCACTGCCCACTGCCCACTGCCCACTGCCCACTGCCCACTGCCCACTGCCCACTGCCCACTGCCCACTGCCCCCTGCCCCCTGCCCCCTGCCCCCTGCCCCCTGCCCCCTGCCCACTGCCTACTGCCCACTGCCCACTGCCCACTGCCCACTGCCCACTGCCCACTGCCCACTGCCCACTGCCCACTGCCCACCTTGGCTCGTTGGTACAGACTCCACGCCTGGTCCACCAACCCTGCCCTCGCCTGTGAGTCAATCACCGCACCCCACGCCGCTGCATCCACCCGCAACTCCTCTCCACCGCTCACCACCGCACCGCCTCTCCCCCCCACACTCCCCCCACCACCCGCTCTCCCTCCCAACCGCACTGCACCACTCCCAGCCTCAACAAGCATCTCTTCAAACACGGAGAGAGCGCGGGAAGGGTCGGCATCAGGGGCCTGGCCGAGGGCGGAGATGAGAGCCGTGTACACCTGCACTGTTGGCGCTATGCCTTCCCGCCGCATGCGCGCAAACCACTGCACCGCTGCCTCTGCCCCACCCCACTCGCTCTCCCCCCTGCTCCACTCCGCCTTTCCCCTGCCCCATTCCGTCTCCACCCTGCTGCTGCTGCTGCTGCTGCTGCCCCTGGGGCTGTACTCCGCTGAGTCCACAACTGTCGTATCCGAATACAAGGTGCTCGTTCTGCTCGTGAGGCTGCTCCTGCTGTTGCTCGCACCACTGCTCCTACCATTGCTGTCACTTGTCATCGAGCCCGTGATTGCGCCAGCAGCAGCCTGAGGCAGCACAGCAGCCCCTGCAGCAGCAGCAGCGCCACTGACAGCGTCACCCCGAACACTCCACCTCCCCTGCCCCCCCTGCCACGTGCCCGCCCTGCCACACGCCGCAATGATGCTCGCAAATGTCGCAGCGTTGGGCCGCACGCCCCACACAGCCCCTCCACGGGGGTACCAACCCTCAGAAGCATCAGCAGCAGCAGCCTCGCTGGCAGCACGAGACACTTGAGGCCCATCAGAAGCACTCTGGGAGCCTCCAGCAGCCTCCCCGGCAGTGGGCGCAGCAGAGGAAGCTGTGCCTTGCCGCAACCGCTTCCCAGCACCCGGGCCTGCCCCACACCCCATTTCCTTCAACAGTGCCTCCACTTCCCCCATCTGCCCGCGGTCACAGTGGGCCTTGACCAGCACGTTGAGCACGGCGGTGTTGCCTGCCACGCCCCGCGCCCGCATCTCCTCCAGCAGCTGCCGCGCTGCCACCACCGCCAACTCGTCAAGGTTGCCTGCACCTGCTAGGTCCTCGCTGTTTTCCCTCGTTGCCAGGTTGCTAAAGCCTGTCTGGACCACCATACTGTCCTCGCTGCTGCTGCGACTACCCCTGGTGATGCTGCTGTAGCCGTTCTGCTTCTCGACAATTCCACCTGGCCGGTCAGACTCACTCCTGCTGCGGCTAGCATCCAGCACGCCCACACGGCCATTCCCTAGCCCCTGCTGCTCTAGCGCCTCCCCCCTGCGTGCGCCTGCCTCACTCCCAGCGGCGTTGAGATTCTCCCCTGTGACCGCGCTGGGCCGTGCAGCCTTCAAAATGCTTGGCCTCCTCAGAGATGACTCGGCTCCCCGCGAATCCACCACGGCAGCAGCAGCAGCAGTAGTGGGTGCCGTGGCCAGTGCAAGGGGAGGCAGAGCTGGGGGCTTGCTGCTGCTGGCGGCAATGACGGCTTGCGGGACTGCAGAGCTCACTGCATTCGCGCCTGAAGAAGGGGCGGTGGCGGCAGTGGCAGCAGAGGCAGAGGCAGCAGCAGCGCGGGCGAGGATGGGAGCGGGGATGAGGTGGGGCGGCGAGGAGACGAGGGCGTGCATGAGAGTAGCGTAGGTGATGTGGTTGGGTGCCGTGTCCCTCCGCTGCTTCATGCGCTCAAACCACTGCCCAGGAAAGGGGGGTGGGGAAGGAGAACAGGGAGAAAACGAAAGCACTACCCTTGAGGTGGGGAGGCGAGGAGACGAGGGCGTGCATGAGCGTGGCGTATGTGATGTGGTTGGGTGTCATGCTCGGCTGCTGCTTCATGCGCTCAAACCACTGCCCATTCATGTGTTGGTGGAGGAGAGGACCAGTAGAGAGGTAAGAGTATAACAAGCTACATAGCTCAAACCATGGCTCCTAGAGGGGGGAGCGGGCGGGGGAGGTGTGGAAGGTGAACCAGCAAGTTAAGGCTTTGAAAAAACCCAGAGTGTTGTCAATCACAGTCAGCCCCAGCCTATATATGTATGTATATGCATATATAAACGACCGAGAAATTATGATATGTCACATTTAAGACCCAGCAATTGAGAGACAGCAGCGTGGTAAAAGTATATTTTTGAGACGTCTCAAAAGTCTATCTTTATCACGGGGGGGAACTGAGCGCACCTCAAACGCAGCAGCGAGGTCTCCAGAAGCAACGAGCCCCTTGATGAGAATGGAGAGCATGCGCACATTGGGCCCTACCCCCACCCCATGCTTCCCACCCTCCTCTCCCTGCGCTCCTCCTCCCTTCTCCTCCTCCCTTTTCCCCTGCGCCTCCCCCTCCCTCTCCCCTTGCCCCTGCTCCTCCCCTTCCCCCAGGTCCCACATGGTCTGCACGAGCGCCTGTGCCTCCCTCATCATGCCACACGCCACGTACCCCGCAACCACTGAGTTGAACGATGCTGCATCTGGCTGCACGCCGTGCGACTGATGGGTGGTGGATGGGGATGGAAGGATGGGGATGCGAGGAGGAGTGAGAGAGCTTGTGAGGTGGATGTATGTTAAGCTGAAGTGAGCCCCCTCATGCCGCACGCCACGTACCCCGCCACCACCCAGTTCAACGATGCTGCATCTGGCTGCACGCCTTGTGACTGGGGAGTGAAGGAGGGAGGGAGAGAGAGAGGAGTTAGACAAGGTGTGAGACAAAGTGTGAAGTGCTGGGCTGCAATGCGGTAGTGAGGCCTATGAACCCCATCATGCCACACGCCACGCCACGTACCCCGCCACCACCCAGTTCAACGACGCCGCGTCTGGTTGCGCGCCCTGCGACTGGAGTGTGAGGGAGGGAGGGAGAGGAAGAGAGGATTCAGACAGGATATGAGGCGGTGCAATGCGGTAGTGAGCTCCATGCACCCCATGATGCTGCACGCCACGTTCCCCGCCACCACCAAGTTGAACGACGCCGCGTCTGGGTGCACGCCTTGCGACTGGGGAGTGAGTGAGAGGGAGAGGGAGAGGGAGGAGTCAAAGAGGATGTGAGGTGGTGCTATGCGGTAGTGAGGCCCACGATGCTGCGTGTGGCTGCACGCCCTGCCCCTGCAGGATGGTGGATGGGAATGGGAGGAGTCAGAGAGAATAGGAGGTGCTGTGCTGCTATGTGATAGTCACTCCCATGAGTCCCATGAGTTGAGTCCCGCGTTACGCCCACCCATATCCAATGCCACGCCCTGGCATGCCCTCCCCTGCGCTTCCCAGTCCACGCCACTCACCAGCATGTGCCTCAGCACCTCCTGCGCGCCACTGCTTCAGGCATGCCCTGCGCCGCGCGCCCCTTGATCAGAACGTTGAAGCTGATGGCGTCGGGCGGGGGTCACTTTCTCAAGGCCCCATCCCCTGCCCTGCAGTAAGCCCCCATGCCGCTCTCTCAGGGATGCCCTGCGCCGCGCGCCCTGAACTGAGGATGTTGAGGCTCATGGCGTCGTAGTCATGCCCACCCCTGCCCAGTACCTTCCGCTGCCCAATGCCCTCCCAGCCCATTCCACGCCACTCCACACTCACCATCATGTGTCTTAAGAGCTCATGCGCGCGGTCAGGCATGCCCAGAGCTGCGCGCCCCTTGATGAGAATGTTGAAGCTGATGGCATCCGGAGTCACTCCCCCTGTGCCCCATGCCCTGCCCTGCCCTGCCATAACCCCCCATGCCACTGCACACTCACCATCATATGCTTCAGCAGCTCATGCGCCCTCTCAGGCATGCCCTGCGCCGCGCGCCCCTTGATCAGAATGTTGAAGCTGATGGCGTCAGGGGTCACGCCCGCCCCCGCCATGCCCTCACCCAGCAGCCGCTCCGCCAATGGGAGGTCGCCAGCTGTCACCGCCGCGTTGATCGCCGCGTTGAAGGCCGCTGTGTCCGGACGCATGTGGGAGGCGCTCTGAGGGGGAATGATGGGGGGGGGGGAAGAGGGCGCAAAGGGAGGGGATAGAGGGGAAGATAGGAGTTGAAAGCTGCTGTGTCCGGACGCACGTGGGGGGCGCTCTGAAGGATAGTGGAGAGGGGTTAGGGGCGCGTAGGGGAGGGGGACAGAGGAAACACTTAAAGCGGGAGGGGGGAGGGAGAGGATGGAATAGAGGGCGGAAAGAGGGGTGCAGGCTGCTGTGGACGGGCCCGGCGCACGTACCGCTCTGGGGGGGAAATGGGGGGAAGGCGACGGGTTGTGGTGCGTGTGGGGATTGAGTGAGGGCACCTTAGCAGCGAGCAGCGCACGTTGGCAGCAGCGACGTCGCAGCAGTCCCTGAAAAGCCTCACGGCGGCGGCGAGCGCGGGATCTCGCCACATGCGGCTCTGTTTTTAGTCGACTTAAGAATGAACGCACCTTGGCAGCAGCGACGTCGCAGCAGAGGCGGAACAGGTCGACGGCGGCGGCGGCGAGCGCGGGGTCTCGCCCCATGCGGCTCACCACGGCGCTCCACACCGCCACGCGCGGCAGATGCCCCTCGCGCAGCATCTGCGCCAGGAGCTCCGCTATTGGGCGGAAGGACGGAGAGGGGAAGCAAGGAGGGGACCCGAGGAAAGAGTTGAGGGGGGAGAGGCGGGGTCATGGAGGAGAGTGGAGAGGGGAGCGGGTTGCTGTGCGTGAAAACACCATGGTGCTCCAGTACCATGCGAGTGAGGAGTTTCGGTGACCGGAGGTAAGGTGAGCTTGCGCGGCAAGCGCAGGGCAAAGCGGCACAGGGGGAGGGCAACAGGCGTTTGCTCACCTGCGTCAGCCGCACAGCCACTGCGCGCCGCTGCCATCACAGCGAGCCCGAACGCGTCTTCATCCACCTGCACCTCTCTGAACACCTCTCCACTCCCTCCTGCATCACCCCCCACCGCACTCCCCGCCGGCCCCTGCTGCTCCCACGCCCCTCTTCGCTCTGCCTCCCCCTCTCCGCCCGCCTGTCCCCCCATCTGCGCGCGACACACCTCGTCGATCAGCCGCTTCGCCTTGCGCCACTGCCCGCGGAGACTCAGCTGCGCCACCGCGCGGCTCCAGCAGCGGCTGCCCGCCCACCGTCCGGCCTGCCGCTCCCGCCACAGCAGTCTCACCGCGTCGTCCGTGCGCCGCTCCGCCAGTGCGCGCGAAATCTCAGCCTCCACGTCCTCCGCCACGCGCTCCAACGCGCGCTGCTGCGCCCACACCTCCGCCTGTACCGCAGGTGGGCGGGGCGCGCGCTGGCGCTGGCGCGGGCGCTGTGCGGGCATACTGGCGGCGGCCGCCATAACGGACGATAAGGAGGGGAGCTCATCCGCGCTCCCGCGGAATGCGGTTCGCTCGTTCCTCCCACTCTCGCCCCTTCCCCTCGCACTACCCCTGCTACCACTATCCCCGCCGCTCCTCTTCCCAGCACCCCTCCCCGCGCCATCTGCTTCTCCGCGACCTTCCGACGCGGGAGGGTTCCGCGCGCCGGGCGGATCTGCGCGGGTGGTGCGTGGCGGATCTGACTCTTCGAGCTGCAGCGCGCGCAGCTCGTCGCTGTAATCCGGGCGGCGACTCAGCGGAACCGTCCTCTCGCGCACCGTCTCGGCTCTTTCCTGCCACTCCGCCTGCTTCCGCTGCTGCCGCTCCTGCTGCCGCTGCTGCTGCCGTTGCTGCTGCCGTTGCTGCTGCCGCTGTTGCCGCGACTGTCCCTGTCTTCCCCTCGTCCCTCTCTCCGCCGCGTCGTCGCCGAGACTGCTGCCGCGGCGAGGGTCGAAGGAATCAGGGGAAGGGGAAAGGGGGAAGGGGGAGGCGGAGCAGGAAACCCGCGCGGGGAGTCGGCGGGAAATGCCAGCGGAAAGCGTGGTGGCGGAAGTCATGACGTGCGCGGTAGGCGAAAGAGGAACCGCGAGGTGTGAAACGACAGGGCTCGCAAATTGCGTGAGGGTAAACGGATCTGCTCGGACCATCGCGCTTCGGTGCTCTCTTGGCAATCTCCTGCTTCGATGGTAACCGAAATGTTTGTTCTAGGGACTGGTTTCCCTCTCGAAGACGAATGGCGGAATTCCCACGCGGAGGTACGAGCGCGTACGTAGCCGCAAGTACGATTCGCACGGCTGACGGACGAAATCTAATCAGATGCGTCAGGGCGCTCTCACTCTCGAAATGCAGCTTCACTCAATGCTGGTTCAAGCGAACCCTCGAGACCTCCATGATCCAGGCGCGAGGCATTCGCCACTGACTGCGAGGGGAATCCGAGCGATGACCGAACCTACGAAGGCAATGTGCGCGAGGGTCGAGAGCTAATGGCGAACGACACGCAAACCTCCATTGTTGATGAAAAAAAGAGCGACCACTCCGCGCTGTAGAGCGGCCACTGGCCAGTCAGCGTCGACAGGAGGACTTCCTGATGGATAGGTTCAAGGTAAGACCCAACCCAAGGTCAATGGTCCGTGTTATATGCACAGTACTGTTGTAAAAAACTACAATCGATCGCAAGTTTTCAACGTGGTTGGACGCGTCTTAGAGAGTTGTAGTGCGGTGGCGAGTCGCTCGAGATCTCCATCCCAATCTCAACGGTAGTTTGTGCCGGGGAAAGGGAGGGAAGGGAGGGGTGGGTCCAAGCATCCTCTTTGTACGGTATTATTCGGTATATAATGATATAAAGCGGTTCAATCTGGTGCGCTAGTCTAGTAGATTCCCTGCCTCACATGCACTTGAAGGCAGTGGTAGGATTGGGGAGATGCACGATGGCGGCGCGGAAAAGGGTGAATCTCGCTACAGAGCGAAGGGATGGGGTCGAGGGAGAGTAGAATGAACACGTTGTTGCCACGGCGGCCGAACGCGTGGCACGTGATGATGAGAGAGGTAGGACGAGCTGGCAGGCCAAAAGTTCGGTGAAACACAAATCACCACGTGCAAGAAAGAAGTACCACCGCTATTCGTTGACATGACAAAGCTGTATTAACAAAATCGTACCTTACAATCGTACCTTATTAAGTGAGATGGGGTGAAGTTGAGAACATTTGAAACAGAAAGAACACATTGACATGCACATAATGTTAGAATTCAAGACCACTCTCGCTAAAACCTACGGTATTTGTATGGCCGGTAAACATTTTCGCACAAACCTGTTTGCAAATGTATATGCAACCTTCAACTATCGTTCATCCTCCGGGACTCATTGGTGCCCACAAATGCGGATATGTCTCCAGGATGTTCGCAGGCCTGTTGATGCTGAGTAACGGACCCCAAATACTTTCGTTTCCGCTTTCGCCCCGCCGAATTCCCAAAAGCTCGTTCTGCACACTGTCGCAAACGCAATACGTGCTCACAAACCCAGACCTTGATACTGACTTGAGGTGACATCAGGTATTTTTTAGTGTCGAACACGCAACCTCCTTCCTTCTCGAATCCCTCTTTCTTTCCGCCAAGCGCGCGCCATCATGTTGGCGCTGGGAGTGGAGGGCTCGGCGAACAAGCTGGGCGTGGGCGTGGTGCGCAGCGACGGGAGCATTCTGAGCAACCCGCGCTGCACGTACATCACGCCGCCCGGCCAAGGCTTCCTGCCGCGCGAGACCGCCGCGCACCACCAGCAGCAAATTCTACCGCTCGTGGCGCGCGCGCTTCGCGAGGTGCGTGTGTGGGGCGGGGCTGGCGCGACGAGGTGCGTGCGGGACTGCTGGCGCGCTTGCCGTCGATCCAGTACCTGCAGCACGCATGAACCCGCCCTCTCTCTCCGCCCATGCCGCACCTGCGTGCACCATCCCCCCCATATGCCGTCGATCCAGTACCCGCAGTGCACATATGCACTCTCCCCCGCTCACATACCCCACCCTCCACACCTCCACACCCTTACACGCACCTGCATGCACTTGGTCGTGTCCCTGGCCTCCCTGGCACATGCACCCTGACTCTCTTGCAACGTATGCGCTCATTGCCCCCTGTGCCCTCGACACTTGCCCTCTCACTCTCCCCATCCATTGATGTGGCTGCCTGGGCTGCACGTCTTGCCCTATCGCATGCTCTTAAACGTCTCTTACCCGCAGCTTTGCTGGTGGCTGTGCTGTGCTGTGCCCTGTGTGTGTTCTTGAGCGTGTGTGTTGGGTGGGGCGCGCATGCATGTATGCATGAGCAGGCGGGCATAGCCCCGGGGGACATAGATTGTCTGTGCTACACCAAGGGGCCGGGCATGGGCGCTCCTCTGCAGGCTGTTGCCATCGTCATCCGCACTCTCGCCCAGGTGAAGTGCGGTGGAGGCAGGTGAGATGGGGTGAGGGCAGGTGAAGTGCGGCTAGGTGAGGTGACAATGAGTAGCTGTGGCGCTTGGTCATAGTCAAGTGAGCCATTGTGTGACACACATCAACGCAGTTCCCAAGGCCAATCAACCGAGCTCTTCATTCATCCCCCTCCCCCCTCCCCCCCCCCATCCTTTTCTCCCTCTTCCTTACGACTGGGAGCAGCTGTGGTGCAAGCCATTAGTCCCGGTGAACCACTATGTGGCGCACATCTTATGGGACATAGTGCCGTGAGCGCCACTATGGCTTGCGCACATGTATAAGGCAAATCAACCCCGCACCCTCTCACCCCCACCCCCCACCCACCTCCCCCACCACCCTCCCCGACCTTCCTCATGGCGTCCCATCCCCCACCCCGTTACCACGGTGAGCAGCTGTGAGACAAGCTAGTACCCTGTAAGGTCGATCAACAACCCCCCCACCTCACCCCTTTTCGCCCCTCTCCACCGTCCTTCACCCCCTTCCCTCCTACCGCCGCGAGCAGCTGTGTGGGAAGCCAATAGTCCCAGTGAACCACTGTGTGGCGCACATCCATGTATGCAGCTTCCAAGGCCAATCAACCCGACCCAACCCCCCTCCCCCCCTCCCTTGCTCCTCCTAACCACGGTGAGCAGCTATGGGGAAAGCCCATAGTGCCGGTGAACCACTGTGTGGCGCACATCGAGATGGGGCGCTGCGTGACTGGCGCCCATGACCCCGTGGTGCTCTATGTCAGCGGAGGCAACACTCAGGTGTGTGCTGTGCTGTGCTGTGCTGTGCTGTGCTGTGCTGTGCTGTGCTGTGCTGTGCGGTGCTGTGCGGTGCTGTGCGGTGCTGTGCTGTGCTGTGCTGTGCTGTGCTGTGCTGTGCTGTGCTGTGCTGTGCTGTGCTGTGCTGTGCTGTGCGGTGCGGTGCTGTGCTGTGCTGTGCTGTGCTGTGACATGTGTTGGTATGTGTAACATGTGTTTGTGTAATCCCCATCGGCCGCATATGTGTTCCTCAGGTATTCAGTGCCCTGTCCCAACACCTGTGCCCAACACCTGTGCCCAACACCTGTGCCCAACACCTGTGCCCAACACCTGATGCTCTAAGCGGCAGCTGCATCTCCTGCTTGGCCCTTTCCCCCTCTCCTGCAGTGGCCAGCTCCTTCACCCTCCCTTTTCTTGTTTATGACAGCACCAGGTGATAACACATGGGGAGGTACCGCAGCTACACCCTTCCCCCCTCCCTTCCCTCCCCCTTCCACGTGATACATACTCGGAGGGGCAGTACTGCAAGCAACCACAACCACAACCCTCTCCCCCCCTTTTTCCTTCCCTCCCTTTAGGTGATCGCATACTCAGAGGGGCGGCATCGCATATTTGGGAAGACCATTTGAGGCACCTCAAATCCCCTCCCCCTCTCCACCTCTCTCCTCGTCATAGCATACTCGGAGGGGCGCTACTGCATATTCGAGGAAACCATTGCCATTTTAGGCACCTCAAAGCCCTCCCACCCCCCTCCCCCCTCTCCTCTCCCACCAGGTGATAGCATACTCAGAGGGCCGGTATCGCATATTTGGGGAGACCATCGACATGGCGGTGGGCAACCTGCCTCACCATGAGGGCACCTGGTGATAGGCTTGCGTTCCCAGAGGGGCAGTACCACAACCACAACCCTCTCGCGCCCCACCCTTTTCCCCTGATAGGTGATAGCATACTCAGAGGGGCGCTACTGCATATTCGGGGAGACCATTGACATCAAAGGCGCCTTAGCACCCACCTTCTCTCCCTCCCTCCCACCACCACCACCCTACCCCTTTCTCCCACCAGGTGATAGCCTACTCAGAGGGGCGCTACCGCATATTCGGAGAGACCATCGACATAGCCGTGGGCAACTGCCTGGACCGCTTTGCCCGCGTGCTCAACATCTCCAACGACCCCAGCCCGGGCTACAACATCGAACAGGTGACGAGGCGCATGGATGGGTGCGAGTAGGTGCGGGTAGGTGGGCAACTGCCTCGACCTTTCGCCCGCGCGCTCAACATCTTTAATGACCCCAGCCCGGGGTACAACATTGAACAGGTGAGGATGGGTGTGGATAGGTTCTGGTAGGTGCGGGTATGTACAACTCAAGAGTCATCGCGTGCTCAACATCTCTAATGACCCCAGTCCCGGCTACAACATCGAGCAGGCGAGACCTCAGCCCCAGCTACAAACAAGAGGACTGCTTTGTTTGACAAGAGGACCGCTTTGTTTAACAAGAGGACCGCTTTGTTTAACAAGAGGACCGCTTTGTTTAACAAGAGGACCGCTTTGTTTAACAAGAGGACCGCTTTGTTTAACAAGAGGACCGCTTTGTTTAACAAGAGGACCGCTTTGTTTAACAAGAGGACCGCTTTGTTTAACAAGAGGACCGCTTTGTTTAACAAGAGGACCGCTTTGTTTAACAAGAGGACCGCTTTGTTTAACAAGAGGACCGCTTTGTTTAACAAGAGGACCGCTTTGTTTAACAAGAGGACCGCTTTGTTTAACAAGAGGACCGCTTTGTTTAACAAGAGGACCGCTTTGTTTAACAAGAGGACCGCTTTGTTTAACAAGAGGACCGCTTTGTTTAACAAGAGGACCGCTTTGTTTAACAAGAGGACCGCTTTGTTTAACAAGAGGACCGCTTTGTTTAACAAGAGGACCGCTTTGTTTAACAAGAGGACCGCTTTGTTTAACAAGAGGACCGCTTTGTTTAACAAGAGGACCGCTTTGTTTAACAAGAGGACCGCTTTGTTTAACAAGAGGACCGCTTTGTTTAACAAGAGGACCGCTTTGTTTAACAAGAGGACCGCTTTGTTTAACAAGAGGACCGCTTTGTTTAACAAGAGGACCGCTTTGTTTAACAAGAGGACCGCTTTGTTCTACAAGAGGACCGCTTTGTTTAACAAGAGGACCGCTTTGTTTAACAAGAGGACCGCTTTGTTTAACAAGAGGACCGCTTTGTTTAACAAGAGGACCGCTTTGTTTAACAAGAGGACCGCTTTGTTTAACAAGAGGACCGCTTTGTTTAACAAGAGGACCGCTTTGTTTAACAAGAGGACCGCTTTGTTTAACAAGAGGACCGCTTTGTTTAACAAGAGGACCGCTTTGTTTAACAAGAGGACCGCTTTGTTTAACAAGAGGACCGCTTTGTTTAACAAGAGGGCTGCTTTGTTTAACAAGAGGACCGCTTTGTTTAACAAGAGGACCGCTTTGTTTAACAAGAGGACCGCTTTGTTTAACAAGAGGACCGCTTTGTTTAACAAGAGGACCGCTTTGTTTAACAAGAGGACCGCTTTGTTTAATAACAGGACCGCTTTGTTTAACAAGAGGACCGCTTTGTTTAACAAGAGGACCGCTTTGTTTAACAAGAGGACCGCTTTGTTTAACAAGAGGACCGCTTTGTTTAACAAGAGGACCGCTTTGTTTAACAAGAGGACCGCTTTGTTTAACAAGAGGACCGCTTTGTTTAACAAGAGGACCGCTTTGTTTAACAAGAGGACCGCTTTGTTTAACAAGAGGACCGCTTTGTTTAACAAGAGGACCGCTTTGTTTAACAAGAGGATTGCTTTGTTTAACATGAAGACCGGTCCTCAACAGTCGCAACAACTCGGGAGTACAGTACCTTGCAGCGTGTGGGGGGGAATAATCTGGAGAGGTGGAGAGATTAGGAGCAGCGAAGTACGTCCGGCTGTGCGTAGCCCACAGCCGTGGATGGCTGCTCCCTCGACCCACAGCCGTGGATGGCTGCTCCCTCCACCCACAGCCGTGGATGGCTGCTCCCTCCACCCACAGCCGTGGATGGCTGCCCCCTCCACCCACAGCCGTGGATGGCTGCTCCCTCCACCCACAGCGTCACCATGGTGCACTGTGAGTGGCCCGCACATTCACTCGCTCCTTCTCTCCCTGCTCCCCTCATGCTGCCCGTGCTCTCTCTCTCCTCGCCACCACTCTCACCTTCTCCACCCTCCCTTGCTTCGTCTCTCCTGGCCCCTCCTGCCCTCCATTTCTACAGCTGGCGAAGCAGGGCAAACGCTACGTGGAGCTGCCCTACGTGGTGAAGGGCATGGACGTGTCATTCTCCGGCCTGCTCACGGCTGTGGAGGGCCTGGCACAGCAGGTTGCTGCGCCCGATGCCGTGGGGGAGGATGGCTACACCGCTGCTGACCTCTGCTTCTCCCTGCAGGTCCGCCCGGCCTCACCCTCTCTTGCCTGTCACGCTCTTCAGCTCTTCGATTCTCTCTGACCTTTCTTGCTTATCATTTTCGTGGGGCTTTCCATGGCCGTTCGATGGGTTTTCTCACACATGCTGTGCTGGGTATGAAATGACTCGGTCTGACTGTTCAATTGGACATGCTGGGCTTGCTTGCGCTGATTGGTTGATTTTGGTATATGGATGGTCGGTTGCTTGCTTGCGTGAGGAACAGGAGACATCCGAGCGCGCCATGGCACACTGCAACAAGCGCCATGTGATTATAGTGGGGGGCGACCTTAGAGTCGACTCAAAATTTATCTCTGCTTGTTCCCTTGCTTCCTTGCTCGGCTGCTTGGTGCACAGGAAACCATATTTGCAATGCTGGTGGAGACGACCGAGCGAGCCATGGCGCATTGCAACAACCTTTGAGGCGCCTCAACACTTGCTCCCTTCCTTGCTTGTTTGGCTGCATGCTGCACAGGAAACCATCTTTGCAATGTTAGTGGAGACGACCGAGCGAGCCATGGCGCACTGCAACAAGCGCGACGTGCTTATAGTGGGGGGCGTGGGCTGCAACATCCGCCTGCAGGAGATGATGCAGCAGATGTGCTTAGAACGAGGGGGGAGGCTCTTTGCCACAGACGACCGGTACTGCATCGACAACGGCGCCATGATTGCCTACACTGGGCTGCTGGCGTTCCAGCACGGAGGTCTCAGCATGACTGTTCCTGTAGCGGAATCCACTTGCACTCAAAGGTTTCGGACTGATGAGGTGGAGGCGGTGTGGAGGGAGGGGGAGGGGAGAAGGGGAGAGGGGATGGAGGGGTTGGAGGGAGGAAGAGGAGGTGCGGGAGTGGGGGTTGCAGCAGGGGTTGGGGATCGGAAGCACGGGGTTGTGAATGGAGATGGGTTGGGGAGTGGTGGGAAGGAGTGTGGAGGTGAGCATGAGGGGTTGGGGGCGGTGGATGATGTGGCAGGGCATTTGGAGAAGAAGCTCAAGGCAGGAGCAGAGGAGAGAAGGGAAGAGAAGGAAGAGAAGGCAACAAAGGAGGAGCCCACTCTTATTGTGGTAGGCTAACATTCTGTTGGCTAAGTATTTTCCACTTGTTGGTGTAACTTCTTGAAGTATGTCCTTGTACGGGTAAGTTGTTCCTGTATATCGTATATGAAATGAAATGGTTTTTTATTTGCTGCTAGGAACATCAGTCATTACTTCCATTGAATCACCACTTCCTGCTGTGGGCCTTAGATGCCAAAATGGAATGAAACGAGCACATTGCCGTTAAATAAGGGGGTAAGCATACCCTATTGTACACAACACCAGTGGCAGTCCAGTGCTTCTGGTTATAGCCAATGATGCTATCGCCTCTACAGAATGCATTTATTATAACCTAGCCTAGAACTGCCTTAGAGATGCACTCATTCTGCGGAGGGTGACTCGGCTCCTAGAGCCCGTTATCCTTCGCCGAGCACCAAACCTGCCGATGCCAACTGAAATCCCACTTGCTGCCAAGCAACTCCTTTCCTCCTCCTCCTCTTCATCCATGTACAGCTGGTTCATGTAGCACACACTCCCCTTCCCACCCAATCCCAAGCCCTGGCTGCTGTAACCTGCATCCTCATCCTCATCATCATAATCCCCAAACTGCTGGTTTAAAAACTCGTTTTTTCCCATGCTCCATCCCTTACCACTGCTGCACAAGCCTTGCACGATCCCCTTATTCACACTCCCCTTCGAATCAAACATGAAGTTGTCGTCACTCTCATCATTTTCCCCAAACATCAGGTTTGGAAACACGTGTTTTCCCACCGGCTGCCCAGCATCCTTCACCTCCATTCTCCATCCCTTTCCACTGCTGCAAAAACCTCGGCCAATCCCCATTTTCACACCCATCAAGTTTGTGCCGCTGCTGCCATAGCTGTCAGCAAAGAAGTCAAGGTCAAGGAGAGCAGAGGAGGCGGAGGAGGAGGTGCAGCTATCCCAGGAGATGAGGCACGCACTGTGGCTGCTGCAGCTGCTCTCACTGCAATTCATCCTGCAGCAGCCTGTGCTCTCCTCTGCTCCCTCCTTCACACCATGCTGTGCCTCCGCGACCAGGAATGAAGGAGCTACCTCCCCTGATTCCACACCCAACCAGGACGCATCTCCAGCTGAGAAGTCAGCAGTTTCAATGAAGTCAACTGCATGTGCGATCTCAACAGCAGGGGTCTCAATCTCAACAGCAGAAGCCTCAATCTCAACAGCAGGAACCGCGACCTCAACAGCAGGAACCGCGATCTCAACAGCAGGAACCGCGACCTCAACAGCAGGAACCGCGACACTGATGGCAGAAGCTCCGACAATGACAGCACCGGCCTCTAGGTCGGCAGCAGGAGCCTCGACCACGAGCGGAGCAGCATTGCTTGCTGCTACTTGATCGCTTGACCTGGTCCACTGGAAGCCGACCTGCCAAGTTTCAGGAGAAATCCGCGTTAGCATCTGGTATAAGTGACTCTTACTTGGAAAAGTAAAGAAGCTTACTTGCAAGATCAGTAAACAAAGGGGAAATGGGAAGCTGAAAATTTGTTCTTACCAGGAGCGGAAGAGAGACCAGGTTGCGAAGAAAGCTAGTGAGGGAGTCATTTTGCTCCCAGCAGCTCGAGAAGAGAGCGTCAACGTCCACGCAGGCACGCTCAGCAACGATGCAGGCCATCTCGTTGACGATCGTGGTAGGGAAGACGGACTGGCTAAGTAGCTTGGAGCTTCAGAGACTGATATGAAGCACTCGAAGGTTCAGACTGCACGAACAGAAGGCTTGATAAAATCAGGGGACTGCAGGAGCTGGAAGGCAGAGCGATGATTCACAGAACTGATTGATGAATGGGAATAGAAACCCCCAAGGCTCTTTATACGTTTTTCCGGCTGCTGGATTGAGGGGTCTGACAGGAGGCGAGAATGGGGTGTGTGTGAGGCTGAAGCAGGGACGGATGCGGCGAGCGGCATGGAGGGGGTGGGTGGGAAGCAGTGGGTGCAGTTCCGCGATTTCGTCGCCTGTGGTTTGGGTTTCTTGGGGGTGGCAGATTCGCAAGGTCTGGGGTAGGCTCGGGAGAATGTGCGATTATCGAAACCCATGGCGACGCCGCTGATTGGCCTAAAGTGTCGCAATGCTGTCCGTTTGAATAGGGACAGTTCAGAATAAGACACGTGGGCTCTATGCGACAGCACAAAGGAAGCGCGAAGTGTTCAAAGGTCCGCGGCGGCTCGAGTGAATTTTTAAGGCGGGAAAAAGAGCAGGCTTGGAAGTTTGCGAGGGTCTCGGAAGGAAGTAGGGAAGCCCTTGCCTGTCGCCGAAGCTGTGCTCAGACCTGCAAAATCTCGGGATGGTGAACACGTGGACCGTGGCGATCTGCGTGCGTCAGTTGGTCTGGTGGGAGAACTTGGCCAAGCTCTGTGCGAGAAAATCAAGAGTCTGTACGCGTGAGGGGGCCTTTCGATTTTGCACGGCCCAGCAAATATATAGTTGTTCGCATAGAAGCTTACATGAAAGAACTGACGTAAATTATGCAGTTGTCCTTTTTCGGCCGTGGTAACTAAGACATTCCAGACCAGACCCCGACAGAATGTCAGGAGCGACGTTGAAGCCCCTAAAAAAAACCAGATTAACCAGATTGAAGCAGAAATGTTCAAACGATTGGAATCTGCTGGCTTCCGCACATCCAACACTTGATGTTTACATACAGCCACTCTGACTGAACTGCACACAAACTACCGTACCATGTCAATTTACAGGTCATCATCCGCATGGTTCTCCAGCCATTCCTCCCGCATCTTCCTCTTCCTCTCCAGTCTCTCCACATGCCGCGCCCTCAGCTGCTCCTTAATTCTCTGCCGGTGGTGGTCCGTCATGCCCCTGTCCCCCCCCATCCTGTCCAGGTGCAGCTTCTCGCGCTCCTTCATCATCTCCTGCCGCATGCGCTCCCGCTTCCACACGTCGCGGTGCACCAGGGATTCCAGTGGCGCGTCTCCCGGGCGCCGCACCACCTCGTCCCCCACCAGCAGCTCGTATGCCTCCTCCTGCTCCAGCACAAACTCCTTCACCTGCGATGCACAACAAGAGCGGGTATTGTAAAAGGACAAAGAGGCTCCCACGAGCAGTTACTGTGCATCATCCTGCTCTGCCACCCAACTGCTTTTCATGCAGCGAAGGACCACGAGTGTTTTGGAACGACATAAGCAAGTGTTCCACTCTGAGGTGTGTCTGATACTTTCAAGGGACAGAAGGGACACGCAGAACTGCCTGGTTAGATGGCCAGACGGCGGCTTGTGTCAGTGGTACTTTGATAGCAGCGGCAGTGGTGAGTGGTGAGCAGTGCGATGCGGAAGCTGCTCGAATCCAGTGGATTCACGGTGACGTCGATCCTTGAGGAGCCTCAAAGGCCTCAAAGCAGCCTCAAAGAGCTACCCGGCTGGCAGCAGTGGTGGTGAGCAATGCGGCGTACAGCGTGTCCGAATCCAGGGGATACACATTGGCGTGTTTGAGACGCTTCACAACGTGTCTATCGTGTTACCTTGCCGGCAGCAGCGGTGGTGAGCAGTGCGATGTGAAGAGTGTCGGAATCCAGGGGATACACGTTGGCAGCAATCTTCCCCTCCGTCATGCCCGCCTGCCACCTCGTCGCCATCTGCTGCACGTCCTCCTGCGAAATCAAAGAAGGTACCGAGAGCAATACAAAGGGGGATGAGAAAGGGATAGGAGCTTCCCTCTTCCGCCATGCCCGCTTGCCACCTCGTCGCCATCTGCTGCACGTCCTCCTGCGAAACGATAAGGGTAACATGGGAAGGTAAACGGGAGTCACCCACATGTGAGATGGGAAGGGAAGCTTCGGCGGAGTCACTTTCGAGCGTAACATCTGGAAACCCTTCTCGTTTCTTTTCGCACTCCAGTAACCCTCCTCGTTTTTCGCATCATCCGCATGGTTATCCAGAGAAAGGGGGCACGGGGATGGGGGGAGAAGCAAGGGGGTGGAAATGGAGCCAAGTACAGACGCATCGTCGTAACGGCATGCGTGGATTGGCGGTAATGCAACGCATCGTAGCTTACTTTGCTCGCGGTCCGAGGGCGTGACGCGAGCCGCCGGAGTCGTGTAGGGGCTTCACACAAACCCTGGCTTGTCCGACGGCTTGACGGACGGCTTGACCTCGTCCATACGCGCTAATGTCGAACTTTAAACAACGTCATGACCGCCGCAGCGCGTCGACTCGAAGGGCGCCTGACGTGGTGGATTCGACCTATTTCCCGATGCCGGACAACGCGCATGGAGGGCGACACTGTCCGGGTTGCGATTTGAGTCGACTCGAAACGCGCATGGAGGGCGACACTGCACCGGTCGCGGTTGCTTGCGGCGAGCCCTAGACACCTACTTTATCGACCGTCCGTCGTCTCGCCCTCGCGCTACTACTGTCGGGCGCGCAGCGGCATATTTACTGTTTCGAATACGCTATAAAGTTACATTGTTGTTGTGAGTGGAGAGATTAATGAGGTGGCTCCAGCGAGGTGACTTTTGAGTCGACTCAAAAGTCACCTCGAGATTAGTGAGGTGGCTCCAGCGATCACCTCGTTGCGCTCGGCGCGCGAGGGTGGTGAGGGGCCGTACCAACGTGCTAGAGTTCTCTCGAGAGGGCCGTACCAACGTGCGAGAGTTCTCTCGAGGCGCCTTAAAAAAGCCGTACCAGCGTGCGAGAGCCCGCGTCGTGACGGAGCTTGACGAAGATGAACGACGGCCGTCGATCTCTAATCGACGCCTTCAGTTCCTCCATGCGCGCCTCCCGGTGCAGGTCCATCGCGCGCGTCGCTGCCGCCGCGGCGAACACGAGCACGAGAATGGCGAGCGCCGCATTGCTCGCCGCCATCAGGCCGCCAAAATCGCGGATTAAGCGCATCAGGACAGAATGAAGTACAAGTACCTATGCAGAGTGATTTGTCTAAATGAGAATCTTTCTAGAAAGAAGAAATTGGAAAAGTGGGAAACACCGACAAGTCTTCGGCACTCCCCCGGACCCCCACACAATCCCTGCGCTCTTCTCACCCCCATCCGCGCATTTCCCCCCGCAACCTCTCCGCCCTTTTCTCCGCCCCATATCTCCGCTCCCTTTCCTTCCCCCTTCGCGGAAGCCCAAGTTCAACCCACCTTCCCCTCCTCACCCATATGGCTTCCCCTCCGCCTCTCCAGTCACTACGCTCCGCTACGGCCTTTGCGGAAGTCAAAGCAACGCCACGGCAGTCTTCGAGGTGCTGACGAGGCCTGGAAAGACAGATGTATCGCTTGTAACAGCTTCCACAATTTGTATTATACAAGATAACGTGCTAGTTTCAACAGCCTACAATCCATGAATAAACTTTTCTCGTGTTTTTAACCTGATAGTTCAAATATCCACATGAAGACATAATATACACGTAAATTTCTCGGACGGCGCACCAATCATTCTACCAACGCCACATTCAATAATCGCTTTTATAGTCACTTCATCAGATCTGCTCGTCTTCTGTTGCAAGGAAGTTTGCCGCCTCCAATAGCCTCATCTCGCCGCCTGTTTGCGGGTCAAACTGGAGCTTGTAGAACCTAGAGGAGGGGGGGGAGACAACAAGTCACACACGCATGCACTTTCAAAAAGTCGTACACACATATGCACATGCGGCACCAGCAACGTTGCTTAAGGCACGGGGAACAAGAGTTAACTGGAAGCAACCATTGCCACGGCCACACAACAGCACAGCGACAGCTTGCAGCAGCAGAACCTGTTGCAGCAGCAGAATGTGTATTGCAGACAAACCCAAGGCTTAAATCACTCAGTCTATTGCCACTGTTGCAGTAGACTTGGCGAGACAGTGAGCTCACGCATGGGCACACGCATGGGCACACGCATGGGAACACGCATGAGAACACGCACACATGGGCACACACGCATGCAAACACGTACGCGCCAGTGCTGCCGACGACAATGACGGTGTTGGCCTCGGCACCAAAGGCAGCGAGCATGCGCGTGTGCACGCCCACTCGGTAGAACGCCAGCGATCGCTCGTCACTGAAGTACTTTGGGAGGACTCCTGGTGGGGAGAGCGGAGGGAGTCAGATAGAGGAGTCAGGGTTGGGCCAGGGCACAAGGGGGAAGCAGCATGAGATGAGAACAGCGAGCATGCGCGTGTGCACGCCCACTTAGTACAAGGCCAGCGAGCGCTCATCACTCAAGTACTTTGGAAGGACTCCTGAGAGGGGGGAAGGGGGGATCACAACGAGTGGAGTCCACGTGCAGACAAGGCGGGGTAAGCATGAGAGCATGCTTGTTGAGGCGCCTCAAAAGAATACCACAGAGCGCTTGTCACTCAAGTGCTTGGGGGTGACTCCTGGGAGGGGGGAAGTGGGGAGAGAACAAGCGAGTGTGCGCATGAATGTGGTGCGCCACACGGGAGCACTCACCATTCTTCCAGAGCGGAGGTTGGTGATATGAGGGTGATGAGAGTGAGGAGGGTGGTATGAGTGAGGAGGGGGTATGAACCACCCCTCATATAAACCACCCCTCATATAAACCACCCGTCATATAAACCACCCCTCATATAAACCACCCCTCATATAAACCACCCCTGAAACAACCTGCCCTTGAAGAGCCCCACCCCTTGAAGAGCCCCACCCCTTCAAGAGCCCCACCCCTTCAAGAGCCCCACCCCTTCAAGAGCCCCACCCCTTCAAGAGCCACACCCGTCCAGCAGTCCATTCCTCAGGAAACCCATCCGTGGTATACCCCATCACTCGTATCACTCGTATCACTCGTGGTATATCCGTGGTATACCCTCGTAGCCCACCTTTGATCAATCCGAATGACCAGTGCCGCCATTCTAGTCGACTCAAATGTCATCCCCACACCGCTCCCCCGCCACTCCCCGACGCTCCTCCCTTAACTGCCTCCCTCTTGATCGCCCAAAAGAGGTTCAAGCGTCATCGACCCTAAAAGAAACCCACCTTTCATCAGTCCAAACGATGACAGTGCTGATACGGCTCCCCCGCCACTCCCTGATGCCCCTCCCTTCCCCTCTCCGCCCCCCACCCCATCCTCCTGCCCCTGCCCCTGCCCCTGCCCTTGGGAGTGCCTGAGTGAGAACACGTGAATCGTGCCTCTGTCACTGGCTGCCACGAGGAAGGGCGCCTTGGGTGAGAAGACGAGGCTGTAGATGTCTGCCCTCTCCACTCCCCGCCGTAGCTGGCAAGCACGGGAGAGCAGGGAGCAAAGGGCCATGAGGGAGGGGGGCAAGAGAGAGAACGCATGCACGGTGCTTCAGTCGCTCGCTGCTACACGAAAGGGCGCCTTGGGCGAGAATACGAGACTGTAGATGTCGGCTCTCTCCACTCCCGGACGCAACTGGCATGAGGGAGGCAAGGAGGGGGGTATCAAGGGGAGGCGGGTATCAAGGGGAGGGAGTGATTTGATGCAAGGAGCAGTGTGGTGAGCAGGTGTGAGTGAGCAGGTGTGAGTGAGCAGGTGTGAGTGAGCAGGTGTGAGTGAGCAGGTGTGAGTGAGCAGGTGTGAGTGAGCAGGTGTGAGTGAGCAGGTGTGAGTGAGCAGGTGTGAGTGAGCAGGTGTGAGTGAGCAGCAAGCACCGAAGAAGGGCGCCTTATGGAAGAGCACGAGGCCCACCCCACACAATGCCAATGCCCAACCCCCATACCCACATACTGCTCATCACTCACCTCGTGCAGCTTGGTGCCATCAGCCGTGTTGAACACTCTGCTCAGCGTGACCTTGCTGCTGGCCGTCGTCAGTCACTGTCTGCCCCAGGAACCAACACATACACTCACCCCCGGTCCCCACACCCCCCCCACTCCTCACCTCGTGCAGCGTGGTGCCATCAGCTGTGTTGAACACTCTAATGAGCGTCCCCTTGCAGCTGGCCGGGGTCAGGCGCTGCCCATCCAGTGAGGGAGAGAGGGAGAGCGGACACACCTCCACCCAGCGTGCACGTGGATCGACACATGCCACATAGCGCACCCATACTGCTCACCTCGTGCAGCTTGGTGCCATCAGCCGTGTTGAACACTCTAATCAGCGTGCCCTTGCTGCTGGCCGTCGCCAGCCGCTGCCCGTCCAGCGAGAGCGCGATGCAGGCAGGCTCCGAGTCGTGGGCCGTTATGAAGTGCGTGCGACGCTGATCAAACAGCTCCACACGGATCTGAGATGGGGCAGAAACGTGAGGGAGGGGAGGGGATAGGAGCTGGGGGTGCATGTTGAAGAGGAGAGGGCGATGCAGGCGGGCTCCGAGTGTGCGCTGAAATGAAGTGCGTACAGCGCTGATTGAGTAGTTCCATGCAGATGTAATGGGGGAGGGGGGGGATATGTTCAAAAACAAGACATGGTAAAAGAGGGTGTGCCCACAGAATGAGCAAAATGCATGCATCGAACTCAAGTGTAATCCTGACGGCATCTAAGGCTTGCTACCACCGCTTGAAGAGCTGAGCCTCACTGGTTGCTACGCATAAACTGATCTGACTGACAAATTCGTATGCCTAAGTAGCTTGCACAGCCTGAAGATCTGCGATTGCCGACTTGCTGTCCTAACAGCAAACTTTTGAGAGTTGGCTCCACTGAAGAGATTGGCGTTGGCGGACCTACCACTCTCAGGTCTTCCTGACTCGTTCAGTCAGCTCTCGTCTCTGGAGTCTTTCTATGTAGTTTCATGAAATATCTGTCACGTTCCTTCCGGATTTACTTCCCTGAGCAGCTTGCACAGCCTGACGATCTGCGACTCCTAACTTGTTGTCTTGCCAACAAACTTTGGTAGTTGGTTGCCAACCTCTTCAGCAACTCGATAGTCGCAGATCATCAGGTTGTGCAAACTGCTCACGGAAGTGAATCTGAAAAGAAGATGGCGGATCTTGCACGGAACTACATAATCGAACTCCAATGGCGAAAGCTGGCTGAAAGAATCGAGAAGACCCAAGAATGGTATGTCCGCCAGCGCCAATCTCTTCAGTACGACCAGCTCCCCAAACTTTGCGGTCAGGACAGCAATTCAGCAATCGCAGACCTTCAGGCTGTCCAAGCTAATCAAATATGCAAATCTGTCAGTCAGATCAGTTATCGCATAGAAAGAGTCAAGATCAGCTCTTCAATCGATGGTAGCAAGCCTTGGATCTCAACCCACCCACCATGCATCCCAACTCACACACCATGCATCCCAATACACCCACCGTGCATCCCAACGCACCTACCATGCATCCCTACGCACCTACCATGCATCCCTACACACCTACCATGCATCCCTACGCACCTACCATGCATCCCTACGCACTCACCATGCATCCCAACGCAACTACCATGCATCCCTACGCACCCACTATGCATCCCAACGCACCCACCGTTCATCCCAACGCACTCACCATGCATCCCTACGCACTCACCATGCATCCCTACGCACTCACCATGCATCCCAACGCAGCTACCATGCATCCTTGCGCACCCACCATGCATCACCGCACCCACCATGCATCACCGCACCCACCATGCATCCCTACGCACCTACCATGCATCCCTACCACCTACCATGCATCCCTACGCACCTACCATGCATCCCTACGCACTCACCATGCATCCCAACGCAACTACCATGCATCCCAACGCACCCACCATGCATCCCAACGCACCCACCGTTCATCCCAACGCACTCACCATGCATCCCTACGCACTCACCATGCATCCCTACGCACCCACCGTTCATCCCAATGCACTCACCATGCATCCCTACGCACTCACCATGCATCCCAACGCAGCTACCATGCATCCTTACACACCCACCATGCATCCCCGCACCCACCATGCATCCCTACGCACCCACCATGCATCCCTACACACCAGCCATACATCCCAACACACCAGCCATGCATCCCAATTCACCCACCATGCATCCCAGTTCACCCACTATGCATCCCATTTATCCCACCATGCATCCCAATTCACCCACCATGCATCCCAATTCACCCACCATGCATCCCAGTTCACCCACTATGCATCCCATTTATCCCATCACCCCATAATCCCACCTGCTGCCGGTGCTTGCCAGGGCACGCCATAACGAAACTGTTGGGCGACTGAGACACCTCGCACAGCCCTCGGGGGTTGGACAACGTCTCCACCTGGTATGCGTGGGTGAAGGGGGGTCGGTGGCATGCAGGTAAGGGAGGGTGGGGAACCACTAAATTGGAACACCTCGCACAGCCCTATGGGGGGTAATTAGTGCCTCAACCTGCCAGATGTGGGTGGCATACAGGGTGGCAGACACGGGTACACACATGTATGATGAGGATAGATAGACAACGCACAGCGACGACAGGATTGAGACACCTCGCACAGCCCCCTGGGGGGTTGGAAAGCGTTTCCAACGGGCGTGCATGGGAGGTGGTGAGATGCACATAGATGGGTGTGATGAGGATGATACCACGAGTGATGCCCGCGCACAGCGACAGCAGGACTGGGACACCTATCACAACCCTAAGGTAATCTACAGCCTTAAGCATCACCTGGTGCACATTGAGGTGTTACCTGGTGCAGGTCTCACCTGGTGCAGCAGCTTCAAGTCAGTGAAGTTGTAGACATAGACTTTATGCTCCAACACCACCACAGTGCGATCCCTCCTTGACCCTGTACTCTAAGGCATTACCGGGCGCAGGTTGAGGTGTTGTTACCTGGTGCAGCAGCTTCAGGTCAGCCAAGTTATAAACGTAGACCTTGTGCTCCAGCATCACCACAACGCGTTCCCTCCTCAGCCCTACCTGCTGCACATCTCATATGGTGCAGCCTGAAAAAGCACTCATACCTGGTGCAGCAGTTTAAGATCTGCAAAGTTGTAGACGTAAACCTTATGCTCTAGCACCACCACAATGCGATCCCTCCTCAGCCGAACGCCCCTCACTTCACTGCGGAAGGTGAGCTCTCCGATGCACCTGCTGTGGCTGTCGTCCCAAATCATTGCCTGAGGATGTGGGCAGCAGGAGGAGGAGGAGCGGGTGGAGGAGGAAGACGGTGAGAAGGGTCACTACTATCAACCCACTTGGAAGGTCAGCTCACCAATCCACCGGATGTGAGAGTCGTCCCAAATCATCGCCTGAAAAGGGGGGTGGAGGGGAGAGAGGGAAAGACGCGTTGAGAGGAGCTGGCTTGGTGGTGGCCTGCGACCCACTTTGTGGAAGGTCAGTTCATTCACTGATGCACTGGCTGTGAGGTAAGTTGCCCTTCCTCATGCCCACCCGATTTCGTCATCATCAAGAACCTACTGAACTGTGGAAGGTCATCTCGCCCGTGATGGGTCTATTTTTGAGTCGACTAAAAAATAGACCCACTTGATTTTGTGATCATCATGAACCCAAATGAACTGTGAACAGGCATCTCGCCAATTCCAATGCACTGGCTGTGATTGTCTGTCGTCCACGTCACCGCCTGCAGAGTGAGGGAAGCGGGTATGGAGGACGGGGGACGGGGGGGAAGAGACGGGGGTGGAGAGGGAAAGAAAGTAGATTTGGCAAGGGAAAGGGGGCACTGACTCGATCCGTCTTGGTCGCGTCGGCTCGCCGATGCACCGCTGTGACTGTCGTCCCATTCTCCTCGCCTCTTTATTATCTTCCCTTACGAATCATCTCACCTCACCTCTCTGTCCCACCCTTCTAATCTCCTCGCCTCTCTAATCTCCTTCCCGCCGCACCTTGTTGGGCGGGTAGCACGGGTTGGGACCGCCGCCAACGAACGCGAGGAAGTTGCAGCGAAACAGCATCTCCACCATGCCCACGCCGCGCCCGTCGAAGTCGCGCCGAATCGTCTCCCACAGCGGGTCGCAGCAGAACACGCGGAAGCCGCCGCGCGTCCCGCACGCGAAGCACGTGAAGTCCTGGTTGAACCGCACCGACAGCGCCTCGCCTTCCGCCTCCCGCTCGCGCTCGCGCGATCCCTCGCGGAAGCCGCTGCCGGTCTGCGCGGCTTGCGCGTCGTGCGGCAGCGCGGCGCCGCCGTGCGCCGATGGCTGCGGCTGCAGCGGGTGGCGGGGCTGCGGGGCAGCGGCGGCGGGCGCGGAAACAGCGCCCGCGGATTCCCTATCCGCGGAGGGCACCGCCTCCCTCTCCGCCATCTGCGGCTGCGCCAAAGGATCCGCGAAAGGCTGCGCGGGGTAGCCTTCCGCTCCGCAAACTGCTTCAGGGGGCTGCGCGAGAGAAGGGGAATCTAGTGGTAACGGGGCGCTATGCATGATGTGGCAATCCCAAGGTTTGACACGCTATGCCCGAAAGGTCTCGCAAGCGGACGAGAAACAGGGGAAACTGCGCGAGGCGCGTGACGGCGAACGGCAGATTGCTCAGCTGTAGCCAAGGCGGCTGGTGTGGGCGGTGGCAAGGGTGACCTACGCCGAGAGGGGCACCGAGAACGACGGATAACAGAGTGCGTAGAGCGCGGAAGAAGCGGTGGGAACAGGCAAGCAGGCAATCAGGTGCTTGGCGTGGCATACAGGCCCTGTTCGATAGCAGGGTGAACGAGAAGAAGAAAACTTGGAAACGGTGGGAGGGGAGGGGGGGTGACAGGTGATGGGGATTGTTGGACCGATGCCTCCCTGCTGACTGCCCAACTTCGATACAAGGTGGTAATCGCGGATTCCTAGCGCAAACATACCCTTGTGAGTGCACATGTTGCAATGATTGCGGAATTCCCTTACCGTTATGCACATCCACCCATAGAGCGATCTTGGCAGCCATCCACAATTTCCTTACATTTTGAAATCGCAATCTTGGCATCCATCCAGAATACTCTTTCTGAAATTATTTTCTTGGTAGCCATCCACAACTATCAAAATTTGATCTTTGTCCTGACCACACTCAACTCATCCAAAGCAGAATGATGCCTAGCAGATAGCAGGGTGAACCACATAACCTGCCTAAATCCTAAGCACTGCAAATCTACACTAACAGTTAACCTACGACTGGGGTGGACGAGTGCTGATGCTTGGCTTCTTCATGGCCAAGGGATTGCTGGAGCTGGATGGTGCAAACCCATTCTTCTGGGTCTTGTTGTTCACAAGGCCTTGCAGTGTCTTCGCCTCCAGCTCTGCAATCGATTTCTGTAGCTGCTCTTTCTTCATTTGCTGCCCATGTGTGTGAGCATCAGATGGCACAACAGAATCTGGGACCTCCCTTGGATGCAAGGCAGGCCCCAGATGTGCACCTTCACCTCTGTTCGAAGCAGCAATCTTTTGTCCGGAGTTGCTGTGTTGCAGTCTGCCCTGGGAATCTCCATCAGAATCCCTCCGCCCAGCCTGCACTCCAAGTTCTCCTGATTTGCCCGCCATCCTCAAATGCCCATCCGAATCAAACTCCTTGCTTTCCTCTCTTTGCAACGCCACGAACTTCGTCGACGGAGGTGCTGCATCAGACTTGGAAGCATGCTCCCTGCCTGTACTCGAAAAGTTTGTCACCACCCTTTCAGAAGATGCCTTCCGCAGATCCAGTCCCCCAAGCCCCTCCTGTTCATGAGATTGCGGGGACAGCTGATGGCTCCTGCTTGGGCTCCAAGAAGCAGACGTCTCAGTTGCAAGGTTAGCAACAGCAGAAGAAAACCTTCCACCGCGATCCCCTCCCTTGGAAACTTCACCAGAGCTTTGCTCCTGCAAATGCTTTCGCAGAGCTCTGCTTGGATCACCCTCCACATCCCTCCTGCTCATGTCAGAAACGTGCTGATCTCCCTTCCCATCCGCCCCCCGTCTCTCCTGCAGCATAGGCTCTCCCACACCACCAACCTCTCGCCTTCGAAACCCAGCTGCTTCTTCCTGATAGTCCGACCTCTCCCTATCCACTCCTCCCTTACGAGTCCCACCTGTGTCACCCTTGGAACCAGAACCTCTGTCAAACTTGGGATCAAAGTCCCTCGGATCCTTCCTAGCCTGCCAGTAAGCCTCCTCGTCCCTTTGTCCCGCCACAAGCCTCTGGTAAGCTCGACCACCATGGCCAGAACCATCCTCCTCGATATCACCTCTTCGATCCCGTTCCACTTTGTCGTACCTGCCACCGTCATACTGCTCCCTCCGGTTATGCTTCGCCCACGGGTCTTCACCAGGCTCGACGTCTCTAGGTTGAAACCTCCACGGTTCAGCTCTGCGAAAAGCTTCTTCTCTGGACCAATCACGTGGATCCCACTTCTTCCCTGGTCCATAATCAAACCGATGAGGAGCCACACCATAATACTCCCCATCTCCTCCGTTCGCGTACAAATGCGCAGGCAGCATCCCAGCTCTCTGCTGGGTCAACCACCAGGGCGGAGCATTCGGATCCTGCACCAGCTCGCCCCATTTTGCAGGTGGCGAACGGGACGAATCTCTGGAAGGATACATGTGCTGGCGAGTAGGTTCTGTGCGTCCTTGCTCACGATCGCCATCCAGATCTCGCTCCCAACCTCTTCCCCGGCCATCGTGCCCCGCATCTCTCCCTGGGCCGTCCCGACCACATCCCCAGCGCTGGTCCCTCTCCACAGCATGTCCACTGGAACTGTGATGCGGCGGCACCCTCTCCCAATCGGGACGCGACGAATGATGCCTGTCCCGCGGATCCTTTGAGCCCCCATGGGGATCCCAATCGCCTTTCGCGTAGTTCCCACTACCACTCTTCTCCTTCGCGTAATACTCCGGCTCACCACGTTCATCACCACCCCAGCGAAAGCCTGCCCTTGCATCACCATGATACAGCAGCGGTTGAGAACGCGACGAATACGGTACACCTGGTTCAAGCCCGTTAAAACGGCCGCCAGGTCCAGGAAATCGCTCATGCTCTCGGTGTGGAAACGGATTTCGGTTGAGCTCGTTCGAACTTGAACCAGGCATGGGACCGGAGAAGCTATCAATCTTGCCTCTTCTGTGCCTGTTCCTCACAGCAAGCAATCGCTGCCAATACCGCATTTCCAGCTCCTGCATCTCGTGTTCCCTTTCCAGCCGAAGCTCCTCCTCTTCCCTCATCAAGTCGTCGTCCCCATCACCTCTTTCTAGCTCACCCGATGAGCTCCACGGGCTAGGACCTCCCCGTGGAAGCTCCGCCACCGACTGGCTGTGCAGCATAGAATCCCAACCTCCGGACGCCTCGCTGTGTCTTTTGAGCTCCATCACAGCGCTAAAATCCGTCAGGCTCTTCCTCCCGCTCGAAGCTGAATCCCTCCGAATTTCACTTGAACCATCCGAAGCTAGCGGAAGGCCAATATCATCAGCCGCGAACCTTTTCACTGGTGCATCTCCAGCCGCGACAACAATCGCCTCCTCCTCTTCAACATGGCCTCGATCTTCAGAATCGCACAACGTCCCTGATCCTCGATGCTGTGCCCCTTCGTCTGACTCATCGCTGGAAAACCCAGCCCCGCCGTCAGCGACCGTGCCTGGTAAGCCTTCCCAGAAGCGACCATGAGTGACACCGACATGATCAAGGCCACCGTTCGCAGGCGAGCCAGAGAAGAGTTTTGTCGACGCAGAAGGTGAAGTAGCACTTGGCCAATTCCGCTGGCAAGATTGAGACCGAGAACGCGAACGCGATGGAGAGGCTGAACGCGACCTGTCTGAAGATCGCCCAGGCAATGAGTTGGCTGACAAAACTGTACTCAGATGGCCCACAGCTTCTTCACCTTCTGCCTCCTGCTCTTCTTGATCGTCTGCATCACCAACCTCGCTGCTGGTCCCCTCTGAGCCCTCCGTTTCGTCAAAAGATGGACCAGGTTTCCAATCAGGAACGAGCTTCATGATTTCCGCGTCTATCATCTCGGCGATGCTGGTCACATCTTGGTCGGAAAGAGCAAGCTCTTCAACCATCTCGCTCGCAACACTAAAAGCCGTGTCTTCCTCCATGTTGAAGGGAAAGTGAATGTTGCGCACCAACCCTGAACGTCAAGCAAAAAAGTAAAAACATTGTAAATCAAAATCATGTGGGCGTCAATATCATACAACTCTGTAAGCGATCAAACTTACCTTCTGAATCGACAATCCTTAAACGAAGGAACACTGTGTGGTCATCATCATCAACCAGCTTTCCCTTAACTTTGAAGTCTCGACTGCAGTGAAGCCTATCTGCCTCATGCAAACCGTCAAGATCACTGTCGCTGGATCTGCTTGTACTCTTCAGCTGCTGTTCAGAAACCTCATTCTCAACATTGCCAGACTGTGTAGAATGCGTCTCCGTCTGCAACACAGGCTTTTCCGGGCTTGACTTTGACCTGTATGATTCCTGGCCTCGGCTTCCCACGCTTGATAAGTCGCTTCCTTTGGACATGGAGCGAGAGAGATGCGACATGTCAAGGTTTCCGAGACCCCCACGATCACCATCGTTGAGGAACGGGTCCATCAACAACTCTCTTGCTGGAAGGCGGCGTGACGATGTCGCCAGGCACTTCTCCACAAACGCTCGCACTTCTGGATCTTTAACCTTGTCCAGCGCTGCAGGCTTCTTTCCCTGATATTCAAACAGAGAACTTGAAAGGCTATTTCGCAAAATTTAAAAACGATGCATCGCAGGTCTACATCGCAGGTCAAGGCTTTTCCGGGCTTGACTTTGACCTGTATGATTCCTGGCCTCGGCTTCCCACGCTTGATAAGTCGCTTCCTTTGGACATGGAGCGAGAGAGATGCGACATGTCAAGGTTTCCGAGACCCCCACGATCACCATCGTTGAGGAACGGGTCCATCAACAACTCTCTTGCTGGAAGGCGGCGTGACGCAGTCGCCAGGCACTTCTCCACAAACGCTCGCACTTCTGGATCTTTAACCTTGTCCAGCGCTGCAGGCTTCTTTCCCTGATATTCAAACAGAGAACTTGAAAGGCTATTTCGCAAAATTTAAAAACGATGCATCGCAGGTCTATATCGCTTACCGAAACAACTTTCTTGTAAATCTGCGCAGCGTTTTTGCACTCGCTGTAAGGATACTCCAGAGTAACCATTTCCAGCACGCACATGCCGAAGGCATAAATGTCGACGAGCTCGTTGTATTCCTCTTCGTAGAGCTCTGGAGCCATGAACTCGGGAGTACCTGAATCATGAAGTCCGCATTAGCGATTGCCGCTGCCGTCATACACGAACCATCAAATAAACGCTTACTAGATACGCCAAAAGAATATGCGGATGCTTACCGATGACGCTGTGAGCGGCGTTCTTGTGCTTCAAGATGGCAGCAAGGCCCAAATCGCCAATTTTAACCTCCCCTTGGTTGCCGTTGACAAAAATGTTGTCACACTTCAGGTCTCTGTGAATGATGGGAGGGTCATGGCTATGCAGGTACAGAAGGCCTCGGAGAATCTGGCGAGACCAGTTCTTCACGGCCTTCATGTCACAGTGCTTGTGCTTCTTCCGATACCTGAAACAGTGAGAAGATAAAAGTGTTAATAATAATTAAATATCACTCGAAACTGAACAGCAATAAGAAGGCAATCAACTTACTGCCTCAGCGTGCTCGACGTAAAAATCTCAGTGATGAAGTTGACGTTCTTGGATTTGATGTCCACCCATGAATTGTAGAACTTAATGATGTTCTTATGCTTAAGGGTCTTCAGAAGTCGCACTTCTGAGAACAAGCGCTCCAGGTCCTCTTGGCACTGAAACACCTCTTGCACTTTCACCTGATTCCACGCCACCTCAATCCCATCAACTTCATCAAACGCCTTATAGCTGCACACGTCGAAGTTAACCAAACGTTAGAAGGCGAGTGGGAAAAGGGAAATTGATGGCAATAAAGGACGTGCTCGCAGTTAATACATAAAACGGAGAGCTTTGGAACTTACACGGTCTTGACGGCTCCCTTTCCAAGAACAGTTTCATACTGCATAAAAAACCACATGAAATACTTGACGTCAGACACGGAAACAACGCAAACACGACTAGCTAGAAAGGACAGAATTTAAGGTACTTACACGACCATATCTTCCAGTGGGATCCCTTTCAACAATCTTTTCGTCATCATCATCATCGTCGTCGTCGTTCACGTCGGCTGGTATGCCATCGGGTGGCAAGTCCTCGGATGCAGCTCCGACTTCCTCCTCCATGAGCGATTAATGGTTAACCACACACTGGGCAACGGAAGAACCACAGAATTCACTCCCAACCAATTCCAATGACCTAAGCTCAGAAAGCTGTCCGGCCTTGCAACTTGGATGTTTAGCAGAGACGATGGCATGCTAGGAATCCGCCATAGCCAGAGGGCATGAGGGCTTCAACTGATGAAACCCTGGATTCAGAGTCAAGGCCCAACCCAGCATTCACCCAACCAGTCAGAGGGAGCGGACACCAGCCTTCGCCCAAACCACAGTCAAGAGGCCAAACCCAACCGTGAGGGTTTCGTGGGCTGTTGGGCCCGCCGCTTGCCCACGGCGGAACGTTTCTGCCCTTGAAAGAGCGGAGGCCCCAAGGCACCGTGGATTCCCTCAATCTTCTGCCAAGTATTCGGATAATAGTCAGGGGCAGCCCAAAACGGATTCGTGTTGGGTGCCCCACCAAACATCAAACTTGTTGGAAGTTTTGCGGCGGAACTGCGAACAGGCGGATGGTGCAAGCATGGCAAAGCGCCATCCCTGATTCGTTGGGAAGTGTCGGAAGGGTAGTTTGGGAGGATGCTTCGGTTACCAGACCCCTCATTCGCTTGAGCCGTCCTCAAGGCGGGCTGGGCAGAGGCCGTTTCACACCACCAATACCGAATATCCTGGTAGCTCACAGGAAATCTGCTTGGATTTCAAAATCTACACTTACAAACGAGCGCATACATGAAAAAATGTATATAGTAATTTAACATGTCTGCCTACATCACAGAACAGTGTAGTTATTTGCCTACCTTGGTGGTGCACCTTGCTTCTTGATTGTTCTTCCTTTGACGTGGTTCCAGAGTAGGTCTAGCCCCTAAGCCTGCGCTGCTATGGTGGCCTTCCCTGCTGCTGCAGGCGTGATTGCCTGCTCCTAGCCCCGTCTCGCCCCGCCCGTTCCGTTGCACCCCACTGGCCCCTTCGAACCTATTGTCTCCGCTGGCCCCGTTGGCCCTGTCACGCTCCCGTCGCACGCACCCCGTCAAGGGCCCACTTCGAGCCCCTCGTTGCGGCCTCGTCACACCCTACTGTGAATGCTACTGTGAGGGAGATGGAGCGGGTGGCGGCAGTGACTGATTTCGCTACTGATGCGCTGGTGATGTCGAAATATATTTTTCTATATTTTTTGTCTTACGGATTGCAGTGTAGCTATAGGGTAGTTACCATGCTTCCTTGTTGGTGGTGTACTTTCTTTCCTTACCTTGTTTCTATTTGTATTCCTTACTCTCTAGTGAATGTGAGAATGTGATGTTTGTCTAGCCTGCAGTGGGGTACTCTATAGCGAGTACAACCCAAATTAGGGTTTGCTATATGTACTCAACTGCCTGCTAGTGAAAACCCTCTTTCCTGATTCTGATTCTTGCCTGTAGTTTTAGACATGGTATCAGAGCAGGTCGACCCTCCTGGGTCGATCCTGTGGGTGGTCCCACCCGATGCTTCTGCTGCTGTCTTGTGTGTCGCGCGCCCCGTGGCGCGCGACGTTTTTTCTTCCCGCCACGCGCTCGGGGCGCATGGCGGTTTTTTGCTCGCCGCGCGCTCCGAAAGCGCGGCGGTTTTCTGCCCCGTCGAACCGCTCATCGCCCCGCGGAGCCACACGCGACCCCCGCTACCCCGTCGCGACGCCCTGGGGAGCCGCGCGCGACCCCGCTACCCCGTCGCGACGCCCTGGGGAGCCGCGCGCGACCCCGCTACCCCGTCGCGACGCCCTGAGGAGCCGCGCGCGACCCCGCTGCCCCGTCGCGGCGCCCTGGGGAGCCGCGCGCGGCCCCCCGCTGCCCCGTCGCGGCGCGCTGGGAAGCCGCGCGCCCTCCCCCGATTTGCTGCCCGCGCACCGCCCCCCGCTGCTGCCTGTGTTAGGGTTTGGGGGTGGCGAGTGTGGGGGTGGCGAGTATGGGGGTGACGGGTGTGTCAGGCCTCCCACTGCTGCAGCTACTGCTGAGGGGGGTGGATGTGTGGGAGCCGTCGGAGTGGTACGAGGGGGGTGGCGTGTGAGCGGTGCTAGAGGTTCAACAGGGAGTGTGTGAAAGGGGTGTGGGACAGCTGGGGGAAGTTGAGTGGAGGCAGTCGTCTTGTCGTCCGCAGCGCCTGAAGTCCAGAGAGCCACGACCCCCTGTGGCCGTGTAGTCCGGGGCTCTGCGCCCAATAGCCACAATGTGAGCACTCCTGGTAGTCCAGAGAGCCACGACCCCCTGTGGCCGTGTAGTCCGGGGCTCTGCGCCCGGTAGCCACAGTGTGAGCACTCCTGGGAGCACAGCGAGCCAGCTGCGTCTGTCGCCGTGTAGTCCGGGTTTAGCCTGGTAGCGACAGTGCTGCGCACTCCTGTTGCCCGTGTGTCTGCAGCTTCAGCCGTCGCCTCCCATCTTCTCACCCCCGCAGTTTCTCCTCCTCCTCACTTGCTCTCTGTGATAGCCTCTAGCTTTGCTTGTATTTGTGAACCTACTGCTCTGCCTGCTTGCTGTGCTGATTATACCCCACTTTGACTATGGGGGTGTGTCAAAATGTGATGTTTGTCTAGCCTGCAGTGGGGTACTCTATAGCGAGTACAACCCAAATTAGGGTTTGCTATATGTACTCAACTGCCTGCTAGTGAAAACCCTCTTTCCTGATTCTGATTCTTGCCTGTAGTTTTTGACAGTGAATCCCCCCTCTTTGGCCAATTCTCCTCTCGTAACTCTCTCTCTATGCTCCTAGGCTAGGGTTTCTCCTAGCCAAGGTAGCTCCTTAGTTTGACAGCTGACGCCGTTGTTGGCACTGCTGCACCATCGCACCTCCTCCTCTTCTCATTCCTCCTCTCGTTCCTCCTCCCCTCCCTCTCTCCCTTTCTAGTTGCCCGCACCCTCTTCTCCTCTTATTTTGCCGCTGAGCAACGGTTGCCAGGGCACCTGTTGCCGTTGCATTTCTCGTGTTCGCACTTGTTGCTGTCGCTGTTGCTCGTTGCAACCTGCCACACCTGTTGGTGCTGCATCTGTCGCCGTTGCATCTACCACCATTGCACCAGCCGCCACAGCACCTGCCGGCAGCTGCATCTTCCACATTGCATGCCTCCTTCTCACAAGGGCTAGTGTACCCCTTTGAAAGATGTTTCCTGCACATGGATTTTGCTGCAAGCAGTTAAGGGGGTACATTGAAATTGTGTGTGCGTGTGTATGCGTGTGTGTGTGTGTGTGTGTGTGTGTATGTGTGTGTGTGTGTATGTGTGTGTGTTGTCAAATTATGCACTTATATTACTGTAGGCTATACTGGGGTACAACATAGAGGGGATAACCCATTAGGGTTTCATACTTGTATATCCTTTGTTTCTAGTCTCATCCATTCCTGCTCGACATTCTGACATGGAAATTAGAGGAGGTCCCTACGTAGGACCGCTCCTTAGGGCCCCACCGTTAGTCTCATTCCTGCCAATTTTTAATCCTGCCCTGCCTGAGCTACCTCACATTCGCTGCCCTGTCCTGCGTGCGACCAGCTTAGTGCCAGTCGCGCGCCCCACTGCCTGCCCTACGCGCGACCCGCACGCTGCCTCGCACCCGCCCTGCTCGAGTCGCCTGCGCGTACGCTGACTGCGCCCTCTACGCGCGCTGCCTGCGCGCCGTCTGCGCAGCCCGTGCGCCACCTGCGCTGCACGTGCGCTACCTACACAGCCAGCGCGCCGCCTGCATGCCTGCGTACGCCACCAGCACGCAGCCCGCAAGCTGCTTCTGCTGCCCATGCGCTGCCTGCTCGCCGCCCCTGCAGCCCGCGCGCCGTCCGAACAGCCCGCGCGCTGCCCGCACAGCCCGCGCGCTGCTTCCACTGCCGCACCCTGCCTTCGCGCGTCTCGCTCTGCCCGCACTCTGTCCGCATGGCCCGCACACTGCCCTGCGCGTGCTGCCCATGCTCTGCACCACCTGCGTGCGCCCTGCCCACGCTGCAGCTGCTGCCCGTGCCGTGCTGCCCTACCCTGCCGAAGCCGCCCTGCCCTGCTTGGCCGCTGCCAGCACTGCCCTGCACGCTGCCTAGCGCTGCCATGCCCTGCGTGGCCGCCGCCAGCACTGCCCTGCACACTGCCTAGCGATGCCCTGCCCTGCTTGGCCACCACCAGCGCTACACTGCACGCTGCCCAGCACTGCCCTGCCCAGCGCTGCCCTGCCCTACTTGGCCGCCACAAGCGTTGCACTGCTGCTACCGCTACAGCCCTACTGCTTCCGCTACAGCCCTGCTGCTATCGCTGCTGCCGTGCTGCCGCCGCTCCTGCCATAGCAGCCATACAACAGCTACATC